GTGCAGCTGGTCCACAGCGCCTGTCACCTCTGCTGCACCCCTGCGCTCCCTGCAAACCCAGCGGGGCAGGGCAGCTCAGCCCTGGGGAATTGGTTTGCTCCCAGAGTTGCGCGCTGATGGCTACGCTCCACCCCCGAGGTGGCTGCATCTCCGCGAGGCTGTGTGCGGAGCTGGAATAGCAGGCGCGCTCGTTGCGGGGGGATGGAGGTCCCGAGGCTGTCAGGTCTTATCCGTGTCCTGTGACGCTCCCTGCAAACCCAGCGGGGCAGGGCAGCTCAGCCCTGGGGAATTGGTTTGCTCCCAGAGTTGCGCGCTGATGGCTACGCTCCACCCCCGAGGTGGCTGCATCTCCGCGAGGCTGTGTGCGGAGCTGGAATAGCAGGCGCGCTCGTTGCGGGGGGATGGAGGTCCCGAGGCTGTCAGGTCTTATCCGTGTCCTGTGACCGGCCCCCTCTCCGGGCAGGCCCACAAGAGGGGACTTTTACTGTGCTGGAGCCAGGGACCGAGTGGAACGGATTAGCCGTCCTCTCCTGAGCTGCTCTGCGGCGCTTTCCCGCCAGCCCTGAGCCGGGAGCCTCGCGACGAACCCGCTTACATGGCCTAGAGCCAGCGAGGTGCCAGGACTCCTGCCCTCCTCCCCGAGCCGGCGTGTGGCTCCGTGCCCTGGGACAGGTGCCCGGCCCGGTGGCCGGATCATGGCACCCGGGTCGAGATGTGCAGCCCGTCGAGCGCCATGGGCAGCCAGGCCCCAGCTCAGCTTCCTTCTCGGGTTGCCGGTTGTCCGGTATTGGCCCAGACTTCTGTCTGGTTAAAAACCCTAGAAAATACCGGCCATGCTCAACTACTTTGGTCCCCGTCTTTTTGGGAGGAGGTGGGAGGGTTGCACTCAGCCAGGTTTTTTTCCACCATGTTCGGTATTTTTGGTGAAATCGCCTCCCTTCTGGGCCATCAGTGCACCCAGCACCCTGTGCATGACCCGCTGGGTTCTCACTTACACGCACGGGCGGGTCTGAGCCCTGCCAGCCCCAGACCCCCAGCCAGACGGCCCGGTCCCCGTCTTTTTGGGAGGAGGTGGGAGGGTTGCACTCAGCCAGGTTTTTTTCCACCATGTTCGGTATTTTTGGTGAAATCGCCTCCCTTCTGGGCCATCAGTGCACCCAGCACCCTGTGCATGACCCGCTGGGTTCTCACTTACACGCACGGGCGGGTCTGAGCCCTGCCAGCCCCAGACCCCCAGCCAGACGGCCCAAGGAATGCAAGGCCAGGGACCATGGGCAGTGGGGGAAGCTACTGTCCTCACCCAGCCCTGTTCTAGGGCCTCCTGGGACGGGCTTTGGGAGACCTGAGTTTCCTTCCTGCTCTGCCGCACGCTCCCAGGGGAGCTCCCCTGACCCCCTCTGGCCTCCGCTCCCGTCTGTACCGGGGTACCGGGTGTGAGGTTGAGCAAGGACCGAGCGCTGTGGCCGAGGACAATGGGACTCTGGCAGTGGTGGGTGCATGCACACGCCGGGGGCGCTCTCCGCCAGTGCAGTCCCAGGGCTCCGATGCGCGGAGGGGCAGGGTCACGGCTAGCTAGTTATACTCCCACCCGCCAGGCTCCGCAGCCAGCCCCCCGCCTCCCAGTAACCCGCTGCCCCGGTGCTCTCCCCTGCAGCTCTACAACGAGGAGATCCTGGACCTGTTCGACAGCGCCCGGGACCCCGACGCCCGCCACCGCAAATCCAACATCAAAATCCACGAGGACGCCAGCGGCAGCATCTACACCACCGGCGTCACCTCCCGCCTCATCAGCTCCCAGGACGAGGTGGGCGGCGCCTGGGCCCGGCTGCGCTGGGCTGTCCGGGCGAGCGGAGGGAGGGGCTGGGGCGCGAGGGGCAGAGCCCCCACTGGCCACAGGGGGAGTCGGGCACTAGCCTGCCACAGCCTCATGGCGGAAGTGCTCCCGCTGGCTCTCCTCGCCTGGCCCTGGGGGCTCTGGCTGCCGCTGCCCTGGGACAGACTCCGGGTGCAGCTGCGCCCCTGGGTGGCATGAGGGCGCCACGGCGGGATGCCAAGTCGGTTACGTTTTCCTGTGGCAGCTTCGCAGCGCGAGGGCGCCCCCTGTCCTCACGCCGGGGGATCGGTCTGTCCGTGGGTTTCCACTCCCACCCCCAACTGCCCTGCTGACCCCCCAAAGGGGGAGCTGTCCCCAGCTGATCTCACACCTGCAGCCCCCTTGCAGCAAAAGGGGGTCCCAGCTTGGGCAGGGTTACCCCTCTCCCGGGCAGGGCCCAGAGAGGAGCCTTCGAAACCCGTTCGCTCTCGGTGCGTGGACCATTCCCCCTCTCCAGGCCCCGCTAGGGTTGCCCGGGGTCCGGTATTGTACTGGACAGTCCGGTATTTGTGCTCTGTCCCGTAAAAAAAATCAGACAATGCAGGACATGTGCAATGTGCAATGTCCGGTATTTTCTGTTTTTCCGGCTGCGCACCGGACGGAAGCCTGGCGTGGGTGGGGGAGCGGCTGGGAGTCCCAGCTGGGAGGTGGGGCCGCGATTGCCCCCGGGAGCCCTCAGTCGGTTGAGTTTGAGGAGGAGGGGAAGCCTCCTCCTCGTTCGTGCGTTTCCAGGAGCCTGCGTGGGACAGGCAGCAAGTTCCCGGGTCAATCCCGCTCCCCGCCGGCTGATTTGCTCACCCCCCTCCCTTCTCCACCGGCTGGTTCTCCCCCACTTTCCCTCCTGATCTTCCCCGGCTAGCCCCCCTGCACCCTCCCAGCTCTGCTTCCCACCAGCCCGTTCCTCTTCCTGTTAGTTTAACGTCTGTCCCAGGGAAGATAATGGAGCAGGGTAATTAAGGAAATCATATGCAAACTCTTGGAAGGTAATAAAGTGATAGGGAATAGCCAGCATGGGTTTGTGAAGAACAAGTCATGCCAAACTAATCTGATAGCTTTCTTTGATAGGATAACGAGCCTTGTGGATAAGGGAGAAGCGGTGGATGTCATATACCTAGACTTTAGTAAGGCATTTGATACGGTCTCGCATGATATTCTTATTGATAAACTAGGCAAATATAACTTAGATAGGGCCACGATAAGGTGAGTGCATAATTGGCTGGATAACCGTAGTCAGAGAGTGGTTGTTAACGGTTCTAAATCCTGCTGGAAAGGGATAACAAGTGGAGTTCCTCAAGGGTCTGTTTTGGGACCCATACTGTTCAATATCTTCATCAATGATGTAGATATTGGGATAGAGAGTACGCTTATTAAGTTTGCAGATGATACCAAACTGGGTGGGGTTGCAACTTCTTTGGAGGATAGGGACATAATTCAAAATGACCTTAGCAAGTTAGAGAAATGGTCAGAGGTAAACAGGATGAGGTTTAATAAAGAGAAATGCAAAGTGCTCCACTTAGGAAGGAACAATCAGTTCCATACATACAAGATGGGAAGCGACTGTCTAGGAAGGAGCATGGCAGAAAGGGATCTAGGGGTCATAGTGGACCACAAGTTGAATATGAGTCAACAGTGTGATGCTGTTGCAAAAAAAGCAAATATGATTCTAGGTTGTATCAACAGGTGTGTTGTAAGCAAAACTCGTGAAGTCATTCTGCCGCTCTACTCTGCACTAGTTAGGCCTCAGCTGGAGTACTGTGTCCAGTTCTGGGCGCCACATTTCAAGAAAGATGTGGAGAAATTGGAAAGGGTACAGAGAAGAGCAACAAGAATGATTAAAGGTTTAGAGAACATGACCTATGAAGCCAGGCTTCATGAACTGGGCTTGTTTAGTTTGGAAAAAAGAAGATTAAGGGGGGACATGATAGCGGCTTTCAATCACCCCTTCCTGCAGCTGCAGCTGATCCAGTGCCTGAAGCAGGGGGCTCTGTCCCGCACGACCGCCAGCACCCAGATGAATGTGCAGAGCTCCCGCTCCCATGCCATCTTCACCATCCACCTGTGCCAGATGAGGGTCTGTGCCCAGCCCGACCTGGTGAGGCTGAGTGGGGGGGGCTGGACGCGGAGCGGCAGCGGGATGCTCGGGGGGGCGGTGACAGCGGAGGGATGTGCCCCGTGGGGAGCGCTGACGCCGCCCCGTGTCTGCTGGCCAGGTGACCGGCCTGCCAGAGGGGTCCCAGACCTCCAGCGAGTACGAGACGCTCACTGCCAAGTTCCACTTCGTCGACCTGGCCGGCTCGGAGAGGCTGAAGCGCACCGGCGCCACGGGCGAGAGAGCCAAGGAGGGCATCTCCATCAACTGCGGCCTGGTAGGCTCCGGCGGCGGGTGGCGGAGACGGGCCGGCTGCAGGGCACACAGCCCTGGGGCGCTCTGGCTCACGAGATCCCAGGCAGCGGGAGACCTAGAGGGGACCTGGCTGCTCAAAGTCCTGGCGCAGACTCAGCAGGGAGGGGCCCGGTCGCTAGCCCAGCCCTGGGCGAGGGCGTTCGCCAGGCCGTGGCATAGGAGCAGGGTGGGGGCGAGGACTGCAGCTTGCACCCCCCTAGGGACTGTACGTCTGGAGGGCAGCGCCCCTTCCCCGGCAGTGGGTGCTTAGGGGCGGGATCGGACCCCGTGTCCCAGGCAGGGGCTCTGCCTCGGCCACTCGAGTTGTGAGAACCGTCGTGGGGTTCGGGATCTCTGTTCTCCCGACGTCAGTGCTGCCGGGTGCCTGGCACAGCCCGCCTGCCACGCTGCCCCGGCTGGGGAGAGCCCCGGGGCTGGGGCTCTAGGGCTGCAGCTCAGCCACCCTCCACGCCCACCCTGGGAGTGCCCAGATACAGGCCGAGGGGCCTGCTGAAGGCAGGGCAGTGGGGTGGCTCTGGAGTGGACTAGGGGAGCATCCTGCGTAGCCACCGCAGCTGCACCGACTGGCCCGGAGCCGCCCGCCCGCCCCCTGGTAGGAGGCTCCGATCGCCCGGAGCTGCCCCCAGCAGGGAAGGGCCCCACCCGGCCCGGGGGAGAGCTCACGGTCCCTTCCGTCTTGTCGGCAGCTGGCGCTGGGAAACGTCATCAGCGCCCTCGGAGACCAGAGCAAGAAAGCCGGGCACGTCCCCTACCGAGACTCCAAACTCACCCGGCTCCTGCAGGACTCCCTCGGGGGGAACAGGTGACCCTGGGCCAGGGCGCGGGGTCACCCGGCGGGTGTCAGCTACCGGGGGGGGTGACCCGGAAAGGAGGAGCTGCACCCCCGCCGGGCGGGGGGGGGGGGGGGTGCATGGAACGGGGGGGCCTGTCAGGCTGAAGCGCTGTTTGGATTTCCTGGGTGTGTTGACGGGGGCCCACGGGCCTCTCCTGGCAGCTTTTCTAATGCGATGGGCTCGGCCCCGGTGCAATTAGCCGCTTTCGCAGAATTAGCTCTTGCAAAATGTCAGCCCTTGGCAGCCCCACTTCCAGGCCTGGGCTCGCTTAAATCCCACCCTACCTGGCTCCCTCCCTGGGTGTTGACTCGCTGCTCTGTAACCAGCAGGGGTGGGTGTGGGAGGCCT